CGCTCTCTAAAAATAAATAAACAAACAAAGAAATAAATATCTGTTTTAAAAATGTAGGAACTTCACAGTGACATGGTGTAGGAACAAGGATTCGATTAAAATGTGATGGCCCAACACATTTTAAATAATAGCTAACTTAATGCTAAGAGCTCAGGCTTTGTAGTCAGAAATATCTAAATTTTATCTAGGCTTGGTTATTTATTAGCTCCATGACATCTTAATCAATTTCCCAATTTGTAAAATAAGGATTTATACCTAACTAAAAGAGTGGAAAATTAAGAAGCGTAAGGTGAGTATAATGCTTGGCATGTTACCTGGCCCAAAATAAACATTTCATGTAGTCATCATTATTATCAGGCATGAATTATCTCCGTTTATAGATTGAACAAACAACTGAGTCTCAGAAGTTGAATAACTTTCTAGTAAAACTGGGCCTCAAACCCAAAGTCTGCTTCCGAATCCTTCTTCCATTATGCCAAACCACTCACATCGCATACATGTCTGCCTTTTTAGACAGGCTGCTACTCACTGCAGTTTAACTTGCTTTGATTGTGTAGTCACAGATTACGATACTTTTATTCTTACTCCATTGTTTTTCTTATCCCAAAATATTGAAGGGGTGGCGTGGATGACTTAAATTCATCAATGTGGCACAGTAGGTAAGGACCACAGAAGAGGATGAGATGCTGTCTCTCACTGTCAGTATGCTTATCGGGATAGCCCCTCTCTTTCCATCTGATTTGTTGCTTTTAAATCTGCTATAAGCTGGACTGAGAAAAGTTTTTTGTTTGTAGTATGTGCAGAATATAATAAGCTTTGAATGGAAGTTTGAGGAGGTATCCTATAAACAAGGCATTGGTTTCAATCAGTTGTGGTCCCAGCAGGTAAGATAGCGAACCTCAATAAGGGTAATAATTCACGGAGGGTTTAATAAGGGAACTATAAAGAAAAGTGTGGGCAGACAGGATACAAGATAATCACAAGGGATAGTTCTAGCACTCTGGAACTAGTGAGAGCACCTCTAAACCCAAGGAATGAAGGAAATATTAGAACTTTCCAAACCTAAAAGGAGCGAGTCATATAGAAAGAACCACCCCTTAGAGAAACAGCAATCTTCAATCAAGGGACATAGCCAGCCAGAGACAATACTTCTAAAAAGGGAGCAGGGTGATTCAATTCTACAGCCTCAGAGGGGAAGGAAGCCTACTGATACAGTCCATGTAGTTAAGTCAGCCTCCCAAGCCACAGAACATGCTGTGAAAGGATGGAGTGGATCTAGAGGAGCAAATCGAAGGCACCTAATCCAGCCTCAGATAAGTCTCTGGTTTTACTTTCACATCTTTTTGTCCTAATAGGTAAGTGCCAGATAAGGAAAGAGTTACTGAACATGACGATTCTCACCCCTTTTAAATGGTAATGCACAGCTCCTATCTACCATAAAATATTTGTAAACATGTTTTCCACTAGTAACCACTGTCATTTACCATTCCATTTGTAATTGTTCAGAATTCTTTGACGGTCCAATGACTAATAGGCCTTTCCCCATGCTTATGAACTTTCCACTTATCTTGCTAGGCAAAATAAAAATCACAAAAATGCAACTACTATCAGAACCCTCAAGGATATTTAAAGGGTTGTATTCTTAGATAACTAAGAAGGCAGAACAAGTTGAGTGCCACTAGAGAGAAAAGAGCTGTGGTGCTGTGAAAAGTTCTGGAACAGGCTTTCTAGCCATCTGGCCCCTACCAGGCACAACTCCAGCCAGAACTCACTGTTATCCTATTAACAAAGTATAGAAGCTTCAATCACGTTCCCTGCAGGCCCAGATCTGGAGAACTACTCACCAAGCCCCCCACAGCCTCCAAATTTCCACTGTACCCTCAGCCAACAAATCAACCCTTCTTCCTCCTGGAAGAAGTCCCTCTGCTTCCTAGGGCTGGTTCAAATGGCACCTCCTTATGTGAACCTTACTTGGACCCTCAAGAACATTTAGTTTATGCCTCCTCTGCATTTCCCAAAGCCTTTGCTTCAAGCACTTAAAGCACTTATTACCCATGTGCCTGTGCAGGGTCCCCACTAGACTATTGAGATCTTAAAGCAGCTGTGTATACTCACAGGAGCCAAAGCAGAGTGTATCAAACACTGTATAAGTACTTTATATGTATTACCACATATATTAACATGTACATACTATCAATCACCATAATAAAACTGCAAATTAAGTAAGAATTCTCATATCAATTTTACAGACGAGGAAAATAAAGTACACAGAAAGGTTAAGTAACTTACTCAGTCTCAAAGCTAGCAAGGACTGGACCCCAAGATTCCAACCTGGGCACAACTCCAGAACCGAACTTCAACAGAACTAATGGGTTGAGAAGGTCTCATTATAAGACCAATGGTGTCCACCCCAGGGAGCATAGTTATTACTCACCCCCTGGAATATGGAAGGGCAATACTGGAACTTCTAGTCATATTTGTTTTAGTTCAGCCTTTTGTAAATTGTCTATTTTTGCACATTATAAAATGTACATTATATAACTGTAATTTAGAATAAACATTCACATAATGTGTGTATACTCAAAGCTATTTACTGACAGAACACTAAAAACATTGAAGGCTACTGTTCTAGATGACTTCCCCCAGGGACTCTGCGTTCCTACATTCTCTCTGCCTAGCACTTCAGTTAAAAACATTAGCCAAATGTTTAGACTATAGGTAAGCTTCCAGAAGCAAGAGTCTGTTCTTGCATTCATCTTTGTAAACCCTACATCAGCACAGAACCTGGTGCTTAGCAGACGGTCAATGCTGAATCTAACTGTACCATGAGAACCTCACTGAAAAAGTCTCAATATCTTAATGCAACTTACTATATACTTCCAGGTTAAAAGAAAATGTATACTAAGCACACTGCTTAGGTATATAGGATTGTCTTAGAAACACACAAAATATTTAATAAATAAAATTTAAATAAATATGTCCTCATTCGTTGCATAATAAAATTTAAAAAATTATACTTTGGAGCATACTTTAAACTGAAAACTGCATTAAAGAGATCTGGACATAAAAAAATTAAGTTTAGATAAAAGGTTCTTTCACTACTGAGATGGTGCACCTTTGCAGACCTAAAGGTCACCTCTGCCTTTCTTAAGTTATAAGCTCCAGGAGGAAGGGAATCAAACTATTCAAAGCTGCAACTGCAGACTTGACTATGAAAAGTAGATGCTGGGAGCATCTACTTTGCATTTCTTCAATCCAACATTTATCGGGTATCAAACAAAGGAGAGAGGCTGTAAAGCCTCCCTTTTAGGTGTTCAAGATGGGCTCTGAGAGAGGCTACATTAGAATGCTGGGTTTCTTCTGTTCCGGTTTCATCCTCTGCAAAATGGGCACACTCAAATACTTAACTCATAATTGTAAGTCACCGGGATCAAATGAGAGAAAACATGCAAAATGGATTCGTTTTCTAATTTACCAAGTCTTTCCACCCCACCCCACCACCACCACCTAAGTTCAAAGCCTGAGTTTGGTCTATCTAGTTTGTTGCTATATTCCCAGGATAGAGAACAGTACTTTTTACTTAATAGATTATTTAATAAATATTAAATGAATAGAATGCAAAATGCCCGCTGCTCGAAAAATGTTGACTGTTATTGCTTTTGTAACGAGAAAAAAAATGTATTGTGTTAAGAGACCCCACCCCTCCCTCAAGGATCTCACAATTCCAGGAGCAACATTATGCTGGAATTGAGAAATGGAGGAATGAAGGATTGGAGATAAGAAAATCGGCTGGATCATAAAGCAGGACTTACACGAAAACGAAATAAAATCTTAAATACACAACAACCGCCCAATGTCGGGCTTTTCCGAGTGAGGTTCACACTAAATGAGGTTTATTAGAGATTACAATGACAGTTTTCACACTTGTGTACGTGCCAGAGTCTGTGTCAGGCATTCTACTGGCTTCACAAAACCCAAGAAACGGGATTGGGGGGAGGGTTGGGTAGTGGAAATGATCTTCACACCCCCACTTTACAGATGGGAGAAGTGAGGCTCGTAGAGATCCACTTAAGTGGGGGAGCCAGGATTTGAATCCAGACAGTCTGACCTCTGAGCCTGCACTCAACAGGCCCCTAGGAAGGGCCATCTTCGCCTCCTCCACAATCGGCCACATGCCCCTTGAAATTAGGAGTGTGTGTGTTAATATTATCCCGGGAGCCCGACTTAGTGGCCCCAGCAGTGAGATCAGAACAAAACCATTCTTGCCTGCGAGAAAGTACTGTGGACGCCGGCCCAGCCTGAGCTCCGAGGCCGCGGTGCCGTTTGGCTTACACCGTGAGCCCCCAGGTCCTCCGGGCCGCACAGGAAGCGTCTGGGTAGCCTCAGGAGCCCAGAAAGGCCCTGCCCGCCGCATGACCTTGGATCCGCCGTCCTGCTCTTAGCCTCAGTTTCCCCACCCCGGCCTCACGCTGGGAGCCTCACGGGAGCTTGCGCCCAAGGAGCCAAAGGCCTCTCACACGCCCCCCTCATGCCCGCCTTCCCGCCCCACTTACGCTGGAAGGCGGCCGCTCCAGGGACGCCCACCATCGCCAAGTGCTTTGGGTCGCGAGCCCCTCGCCTCCACCGGCGGCCAGGGTCGCTCAGACACCGGCGTGGGACCTGCAGCCTCCAAGCTCGCCAACCCCAGTGAAACCGCTCCAGGTGCTGGTACCACCACGGTTAGGCCGCGCGCCGCCCCGCCCCCCGTTGGCTCCGCCCCACCCGCCAGGGACACCCCCTGCTCGCACTCCCTCCTGTAAGCCCAACGCCTGCGGAAGCCTGGCCCAGAGACCGGCTCCTGTTAAACCCCGCCCCCCGATTTGCCCCACCCCTTCCACGTGAACCTCTGAGCCCTATCCGGGAGCATACTGCTTCTCAGATCCACCCCTCCTGCGTCACGGCGCCTGTCACGCGCAAGGTCCACTTTCAGGTACTGGGTACCCCACTGAGCGCCAAGCAGTGGCCCGAGCCAGGGGCCAGAGGCCTAGGGAACAGAACTTAGCGAGGAAGGAGGTGACTCCTCACCTGTGTTCTGTGTATTAAAGCCTGGTAGCCCTTGAGTTTATCATTGGGTAAGTCACTTTTTGGCCTATCATGTTCCAAATATCCAAAATGTCATTTATTATATTAATGTCTAGGTCCTTTAATCCTGTTAAGGTCCTTTTATACACTACATCAGGTTAAATCCTCACCATAAAGAAAAGAAGTATTATTTTTCCCTTTCTGCACAAAGGGAAGGGCTTTCCCACCAGCCAGTTGCCCACTGGCTACTCTTCGCAAAAAGCAGGCATAGTTACCCTGAAACCTATATAATTTTATTCACCAAGTCACCCCTATAAATTCAATAATAAAAAAAGAACAAACTGACAGCAACCAGAGGGGAATGGGGAGAGAGACAATGGGGAAGAATAGGGGAAGAGCCATCATGGAAAAAGCCAAAGGGGATGGGTAAATAAGGCGGGGGTGGGGTGAAAATGGAGACAACTAAATTTGAACAACAATAAAATAATAAATAAATTTTTAAAAATTTTAAAAAGAAAGATGGGATTGCAACCTATAAATTCCTGACTTCAGACTCAGTACTTTGAGCTACTCTGAACTATTATGCCTCCTAAGGGTTCAAACCCAGGGACTAAAATTAAAGCAAGCTCCAAATTCTATTATGTACGATGAAACCATACACAAAATTCTTTATTTAAAATTATTGATTGATTGATTTGAGAAAGAGAGACATCGGTTTGTTGTTCTACTCATTCATTCATTCATTGCTTGATTCTTGCATGCGCCCTACTGAAATTCCAACCCAAAGCCTTGGTATACAGGGCCAAGGCCCTAACCAATTGTGTTACCTGCTAGGACAACAAAGTTCTTTTACAAGCAAAAAAACTAGTATAAAATATTTGCAATTGTTCTGGCTGGTGTAGCTCAGTAAATTGAGCACTGGCCTGCAAATAGAGGTTCACTGGCTTGATTCCAGGTCAGGACACATTCCTGGGCTGCTGGTTCCATTCCAGCATACAGACAACCAATATGTTTCTCACAGTGACGTTTCTCTCTTTCACTCTCAAATCAATAAACATATTCTCAGGTGAGGATTTAAAAAAACAATAGGAGAAGTAACGCAAATTAAATCCAAGGCAAGCTGGTGGAAAGAAATAAAGATAAAATCAGAACTCAGTTGAAGGGAGAAAACAATGAGAATCGATAAAACTGAAAGTTTGATTCTTTGAAAAAATTAGTAAGATTGATAATCCTTTAGCAAGACTAACAATGAAAAAAGAGGGTACATAATGTATCAATACTAAGAGTGAGAGAACATTACTACAGACCCTACAGATAGTGAAAGGATAATGAAGAATTATCATGAGGAATTTTACGCCCATAAATTTGACAATTTAGATGAGAGTGACCAATTCCTTAGAATACATAAACTTCTCAACAAGTTGATAATTTGAATAGGCCTATTTTATTAAAAAGATTAAATTTGTAGTTAAGCCCTGGCTGGTGTGGCTCAGTGGACTGAGCGCCAGCCTGTGAACTGAAAGGTCGTGGGTTCAGTTCCTGGTCAGGGCATATACGTGGGCTGCAGGCCAGGTCCCCAGTTGGGGATGTGCAAGAGGCAACCAATTGATGTTTCTCTTGCACATCTATGTTTCTTTCTCTTTCTCTCTCCCCTCCTCTAAATAAATAAATAAATAAATAAATAAAATTTTTTTTTAGAGATTAAATTTGTAGTTAAAAATCTTCCAACAAAGAAACCTCCAGACCCAGAATGCTTCACTAGCTAATTCTACCAAATATATAAGAAGAAACAATACCAATTTTATAAAGCCTGTTCCAGGAAGTAAGAGGAAAAAGTACTTCCAATGCATTTTATGAGGCCAGCATTACCCCTATACCAAAACTACACAAAGATATTACAAGAAAACTATAGACCAATATTTCTCATGAAGACATGTGCAAAAATCCTCAACAAAACATTAACTGAATCCAACAATTTATAAAAAAGATAATACGCCAGAGTCACACTGGGATTACCTTGCAAATGCAAGGCTGGTGTAAAAACTGTTTACACAAAAGCATGTATATGATTGTTTATAGCAGCTTAGGTCAAAATTATCAAAAACTGAAAATAATGTAAATGTTCCTCATCTGTTAAGTAAATAAACTTAATGAGTACACTCATTCAAGTGAACACTATTTGGCAATAAAAAGGAACAAATTTCTTGATTCCCACAACACCACAGATAAGTATTAAAGAAGCCAGACTCAATGGGCTTTATATTCTGTGATTCCATTTGTGGGATACTATTTTTATTGTTCTAGAATATATTTTTATTTATTTAAAGATTTATTTATTTATTTTTAGAGTGAGGGGAAGGGAGGGAGAAAGTGGGAGAGAAACATCAATGTGGGATTGCCACTCACGCGCCCCCTACTGGGGACCTGGCCCCCACCCCAGGCATGTGCCCTGACTGGGAATTGAACTGGCGATTCCTTGGTTTACAGGCCTGCACTCAGTCCACTGAACCACACCAGCCAGGGCCCATTTGTAGGATATTTTTTAAAAGCCATAATTATATGAACAGAAAATAGATCTGTGGTTGCCAGATACTAGGGCACAGGGAAATTCAGAGGTTGATGGAAATATTCTGCATCTTAATTGTCATGATGTTTAGAGGATTGTATGCATTGCCAACATTTTAGAATTGTGCATTTTAAAAATGAGTGACTTTAGCCCTGGCTGGTATGGCCCAGTGGGTTGAGCTTCAGCCTCTGACTTGAAAGGTCGCTGGTTCAATTCCTGGTAAGGGCACATGCCTCCATTGCAGGCCAGGTCCCCCGGGTGGGGATGCGTGGCAACCAGTGGAGAGATATTTCTCTCCCTCTCTTTCTCTCTCCCTTCCCTTCTCTCTAAAAATGAAAATAAAATAAAAAATCTTTCTTAAAAAGTGAGTGACTTTAGGAAAATTTGTAAATTGCATTTAAAAGTGAAAAATTGAAGTATAATAAACATATATAACAAGATGTACAAATCACAAGCATACAGCTCAATCAGTTTGTTTCAGGCTTCACACCTTATAACCACCATTCATATCAATATAAAATTCATTTTTCATCACTCTAAACACTACAGAGTGTTTTTTCCAAGCAGTACCCCACCCAGAGGTCTCTACTATTCTGATATTTATCACTATAGTTATATGAATTTTTAATTGCTTTATTGAGATATGATTCATATACCATATATTCACCCATTCAAAGTGTATAATTCAAGGCTTTTTAGTATATTCATGTAACTGTGTAACCATCACCAGAATCTAACTTTATATCATTTTTTATCATCCCAGAAAGAAACCTGATACTCATTATTAGCAGTCACTTCCCACCCTGTTCTCCCCCAGCTCTTACTGCTTTTTAAAAAATCAACTTTAGCCCTGACTGGTGTGGCTCAGTAGACTGAGCGCCAGCCTGCAAACCACAGGGTAGTAGGTTCAGTTCCCAGTCAGGGCACATGCCTGGGGTGTGGGCCAGGTCCCAGGTAGGGGGTGTACAAAAGGCAACCACACATTGATCTTTCCCTCTCTTCCTCCCTCCCTTCCCCTTTCTAAAAATAAAATAAATAAAATCTTTTTTAAAAATCAACTTTATTAAGGTACACTTTATGTACAAAAAACCACATCAATTTAAAAGGCACAATTTGCTCTGGCTAATATAGCTCGGTGGATCAAGCACTGGACTGCAAACTGAAGGATCATCATTTCAATTCCCAGTCTAGGGCACATACCTGGGTTGTGGCCAGGTCCTCAGTGGGGGGCAGAACGTGAGAGGCAACTACACATTGATGTTTCTCTCCCAATCTTTCTCCTTCTTTTCCCCCCTCTCTAAAAATAAATAAATAAATAAACAAACAAATAAATAATCTTAAAAAAAAAAAAAAAAGAAAGCTTAGCCTCAGGTGACAGAATTGAATTCTGACATTCTTTTCCCAACCTCATAAAGGAACTGCAGTCTCCACAGACCTAAGGAAATTGCTCAGGGCCCTGGCTGTTTCTTGTCCAAACCAAGTAATGGTTTTTCTTTAACCATCTACAAGGAGGATAAAGATGGGTGGCAGGGAGAAATGCATTCTGCCTGCCATCTGCCCTGGCCATGCCTCTTCCGCTAATGAATGATAAACACAAGGCCCAGCCAGATGACAGTCAGTGAGGGAAAGCTAATTTAAAGGTGTATGGTCCTGTTGAGTAAATAGGAGCCTGCAATGCCGATGGCACTTTAAAAAGCCTGTCTGTACACCTGAGAAATATTTGGCATGGGTGGGACATTTCTAATAAGCAAGGTTTTCTTCTCCATAGGAGACTGAAGAGCACAAGAATTTAGAAGGGGAGATAAACAAGTAGAGTTTCTTGAACATAGGTTGTATTATTAAAATTAATTTTTGTAGCCCTGGCTTGTGTAGCTCAGTGGATTGAGCGCGGGCCTGTGAACCAGACAGTCGCGGTTCAATTCCTAGTGAGGGCACATACCAAGGTTGCAGATCAGTTCCCTGCAGGCCAGTTCCCAGCAGGGGACCCATGAAAGGCAACCATACATTGATGTTTCTCTCCCTCTCTCCTTCCCTTCCCCTCTAAAGATAAATAAATAAAATCTTTAAAAAAATAAAATTAATTTTTGTTTATGATTATGAAGCAAATGTGAGCATACTGATGAGGAGGAATTTGTATACTATGCAATAAGATTAGGTAGAAAATGAAACCCTGGCTGGGTACTTCAGTTGGTTAGAGCATCATCCTGATATGCCAAGGTTGCAGGTTCAATCACTGGTGATGGCACATTTAAGAATCAACCAATGAGCCCTGACTGATGTGGCTCAGTGGATTAAGGGTTCTTGCAAACCGAAAGGTCAGCCATTCTCTTCCCAGTCAGGGCACATGCCTGGGTTGCAGGCCAGTTCCCAGCAGGGGGGTGCACGAGAGGCAACCACACATTACTATTTCTCTCCCTCTCTCCTTCCCTTTCCCTCTAAAGATAAATAAATAAAATCTTTAAAAAATTAAACAAAACATTTTTAAAGAAAAAAATCAGTCCATGAATGCATTAAATAAGTAGAAAAACAAATCAGTGTTTCCCTCCCTCTTTCTCTAAAATCAATTTTAAAAAAAATGAAAACCACTCTTAATTTCTGACACTGAGGGAAAAAATGCTGTCACCATTTTATTCTATATCCTTATCAACTAATTTTTAACTATTTTTATTTATCGTATTTACATAATTGAGATCATACTGACAGTACATTTCTGCAGTCTGCCTTTTTTCTTTTTTATTATTATATACATCAGCATTTTTTGATGTCACTAAGAATTATTCATAAATGTCACTTCAGTGATGGTCACATGACACTCCACTTTCGGTAGAATCTGATATGAAGTCATTAGGGCTGCCTTTTCTTTTTTGTTATCATTATGCCTTATTGAATGAACATCACTGTGCATCACATTTTTCTATTTTCTGATTCCGACAGTAGTTTTCAAAATAGTATCATTAGCAGTGAAATGGCACTAGAATGTTATCAGCAATTGGACTTCTGTTCAGCAACCTCAATACTTGAGTTCTGGCTAAGAAAGAGTTCAGAAACGAGACTGAAATACAAGCAAAAGTTTATTTAGAAAGACACAGAGGTAGAAGACATGAGCCATGGAAAAAGTGATCCAGCTGGGCTGTGTGGGCTCAGGAAACACGTTACAGAGAGAAGGGCCCTTGGAGCTCAGGGAAAAGAAAGGCAGAGAGAAAGTACCTGGGGGAACGTAAGGGGGAGAGGTGAGAGCATGCTCCAGAGAGTGTGTGCATCCAGGCAAAGGAGGAGGTGGGGAAGAACATAGGCATATGAGGAGAGAGAGAGAGAAAGTGGGAGCTGCACTGAGTCCCCATCCTAAGGGGTTTTACCTGGAAATCTCAGTAGAGAATCCCAATAGACTATTCATCAGCTTTCTAGGTGTGTCCTTTAAGGGTTGAGGTCCTGGTCTCCACTGATTGGTCCTTGCCAGGGCAGGGCATTAGTCAGCAAAGCTAGTCCTGATATCAACCATGATATCCCCCACCTGGTCTTGCTACTTCTCTGAGTCTGGAGCTAAAACACAACTGAGGCTAGATTATCTCTAGGGCTTAATGCTAAGGGAGTGGTCATGCAAGAGAGTCCCATGAGGCTACTCTCCAGCTCCCTTGTTCCAATTCTCAGAGAATCTTACCATAGGACTAGGGATAAGAAAGATCAGAGGGTCTAAACCACATGACCAGTGATATGATAGGAGAGGAAAGGTCACCCTGGGCGTGAGGTTCCACCCTACAATTATCTGTTGCTAGGCACTTGAGGCTTTCTGCTCTCTCGACCTTCAGTACCTGGCCTATGGATGCTATGCTGCTCATGCCTGTCTAACTGCCTACTACAGTATCACTGGTTCAAATTACAGCAATATTTTTGCCTTTACTAAATCATATTTCCACCAGTGCTGGTTAAGTACGCCCACCTGGTAACACCCTTAACAATGTGTGTTCAAATTATTTTACAACATTTTCAAATTTATGGGTGAAAATGTGGGACATTGCTAATGGCCAGTGTTGCTCCCTGTTAGGTAACTAAATTCGTGAGCCTTAGAAGTACCCAAGAGGAGAAGAGGGTGTCAGGCCGAAGCAGTGGACCTTCTGCCAGCAGATAACAGTACAGAGGCTTACTCCTCTCAACCCCCACACCCAGTCATCTCAGTGACCTCAGTGACAGTGCCCTGGGAATCCTCGTCTTCCTCCTCGTATTGACTTCCAAGCTCCCAGGTGAGGTTCTCATCACTTCTTTGTTTTTTTGGTCTCCTTTTAGATGTTTCATTATGAAATCTGTCATACCTGCAGAAATGTACACTATACTTTTGTAACAGTCTCCTAATTGGCTTCCCTGCCTGTAAGGTCTCACTTCACTAACTGTCCTCTGCCGTCAGAGGATCCAACCACAACTCACCTCTGACTTGTTTCCCTGCCGACTCTCCAGCCACCTTTAAAAATCCTAACTGGCTCCTATTTCTTGATAGAAACTACTTAAACGCATCATGGTATTCAAAGCTATACACACTCTCACCTTGCCTTCTGCCTGCCCTGCCTTTCTGTCCAGTTACACAGAAATACTTCACAAAATGGCCCCAGCTGGCTGGCTCAGTTGGTTAGAGCGTCATCCCTATACCCCAAGGTTGCAGGTTCGATCCCTGGTCAAGGCACATGTAAGAAGTGATGATTTAAGGCATAAATAAGTGGAACAAATTGATGTTTATGTCTCTCTCTCTCAAAATCAATAAAAAAAAAAATTGAAAAGAAATACTTGAGCCCTGGCTGGTGGAGCTCTGTGGATTGAGCACAGGCCTGCGAACTGAAGGATCGCAGTTTGATTCCCAGTCAGGGCACATGCCTGGGTTGCAGGCCAGTTCCCAGCAGGGGGCCCACGAAAGGCAACCATACATTGATATTTCTCTCCCTCTCTCCTTCCCTTCCCCTCTAAAGATAAATAAATTAAAAAATCCTTAAAAAAAAAAAGAGAAATACTTCACAAGAGCTACTTTAAATGTTTCCTATATGCCACGTACATACACAAAGCTCAAAGCATAACTAGCAGTCCTGCCAGGTTTAGTTCTATCATATCATCCCTTTTCACAAATGAGAAGACTGAGGCTCACAAAAGTTGAGTGATTATTCCCAGTGCACCCAGCTGATAAGTGACTGATTCTATTGAACCTGTGTTTTGAACCCCAGGTTACCACACTTGGTCTTTTCCAGATAACACTCTGTCCTCTAGGCCTTTGCCCAAACTGGTCTCTGGGCCTTCTTTAGGCCAGAAACAGACCTTAAAGTCCTACCCACCTGTTATCATGTTCTTCCACCTGTGTTTCATCAAATACCCTGGGCCTTTCAGACAATACAAGTTCCCTTGTACTGAACACAAAACCCCCACTGGAACACAGATTTAAACCTTCCATATAGACTGTGTGTTCCTCAGTGCCAGGGCTCTTTTCTTATTTACTTCTTATTTATATCCTGGGTCTTTGGGCCCAGGATGGTGTCTGATGAGGAAGTACCACTCAGGAGAGTCTAGCCTGACTCAGTCAGAACTGTCTCCCTTTCCAGCTTGTGTTTGTGTATCCTCTCAGTTGCTCAACAAACATTTGATAGTATTGATGGTAGACTAGGTCTCAGATTGTATTGCTTCCTGCCTAAAATCCTCTTGAACTCATACTCTGATGGTGGGAGTATAAGTGGTACAACCACTTTGGAAAACAGTATCTACTAAAGCCAAACACATGACAGTTCTATGACCCAGCATTTCCATGCCTGGGCAAATACTGGAAAGGAATGCTACCATATGTGCGTGAAAGCACATGTATACAATTATGTATAGGAGCTGAGGAGCAAGTGAAGATAGGGGATACATAAAATGGAGTCACTTTAACCAAGCTGCTAAAATTATCAACATCTGAAGGTTGAGGCATGAGGAAAGACTCTATTCTTGTTCTAACTAGCCTGGGAACTTAAACTTTTGAACTTCCCTATCCTGCATCAATGCCTAGATATACATCTGGACATACACCAGACCTCCAGATAACCCTCTGATTACCCGCTGAAGGATGCAGGTATCCAGGTCAAAGGACATCATCCACCTGACCTCTACTATCCAGACCACTGGATGTGACCAGACCACCTGGCATTTATCTTCCAGACTGCCTGACATCTGACAGATAACCATCCTGGACCAACCCTAGGGCTAAGAATGCAAGACTAATTTTTTTAGAATGAACTTCTGACTGTAAGAACTCTTTTCTTTCCTCTTTGGAACACTTCTGGGTTTTTGTCTATCTGTTTTCCCAGTTTGTAAACTCTAAGACCCTTGAATAAATCTTTATCACTTGTTTCTAGCCAAAGCCTCCATACTCTTTTAAGTTCATTCCCCATAGCATTATTTAGAGAAGCCCAAACCAGAAAGTTCCCAAGTGTCTGTCAACAGGAGAAGGATAAGTTGTGATATATTCATACAGTGAAATACTACACAGCAGTGAAAATTAATGAACTGTACAGACAATAGAGATGAATCTCATATGGTAAGTGAAAGATGCCAGACTCAAGAGTATATACAAACTCTACTTATATGTAAATTCCACCCTGACCCCAGTGACTTAGTCAGTTAGGCTTTGTCCTGCAAAGCAAAAGGTTGCCAGTTCCATTCCCAGTTTGGTCACATGCCTGGTTGTGGGTTCAGTCCCCAATCAGGGTGCATAACAGGGGTGACCCACTGATGTTTCTCTCTCAGATGGATGTTTCTCTCCCTCCCTCCCTTTCCCTCTCTCTAAAAATAAACAAACAGGAGAGAACCATGTGCTTTTGGCCAGAGTGGGGGGACCACCTCCCCCCAACTCCCCCCCCCCCCCCGCAGCCATGAGAAGAATCATCACAAGGCTTTAGCAGAGAACCACCACGAGGCTTTGGCAGAGAATCAACACATGGCTTTCTATTTCTTTTCCTGAGATACGATACCTTGGACTGGGCAAAGGGGGGAAAGAAGGACTGTGTGTGTTTGTGGGTGTTTTAAGGAACTTTGGGATTTTGATGAAGACAGTAAGTCATTACTCTTAAATCTGGGTAACTTGAATAATTCCTTTCCTTTTCAAAAAATAATAAATAGATAAATAAAATCCTTTTTAAAAATTCATTTATCTTTAGAGGGGAAGGGAAGGAGAGAGGGAGAAAAATATCAATGTATGGTTGCCTCTCTGTGTCCCCTGCTGGGAACTGGCCTGCAAGCCAGGCATGTGCCCTGAGAATCAAACTAAAATCCTTTTTTTAAAAGAAGTCAATATAGTAGGATTTGGACAGGTTGGGATCCATTTGGTTAGAGCATTCTCCCAATACACAAAGGTTGTGGGTTCAATCCCTGGGCACATACAAAAATCAACCAATGAGTAAATGGATAAGTGGAACAACAAATTGATTTCACTCTCTCTCTCCCTTCCCACCCACCCCCTCAATCAATAATTTTTTTTTTTTAAAGTTCAGCCTCGGCTGGTGTAGGTCAGTGGATTGAGCGCTGGTCTGATAACCAAAGAGTTGCCGGTTTTATTCCCGGTCAGGGCACATGCCTGGGTTACAGGCCAGGTCCCCAGTAGGGGGCTTGAGAGAGGCAACCACACATTGAGATTTCCCTCTCTACTCTCTTTTTAAAGATAAATAAAAATTTTTTTTTAAAGTTCACGTTTAGAGATGTCAGTAGACCAGCAATTTTCAACATTTTTCATCTTATAGCACACATAAATCTAATTAAAATTCTGCAGTACACCAACAAATACATTTTGTAGCCAATCTGACCCCCCAAAATAGTTATAATTTTGATTCATTTACACCTATTATGTTGACCGTTGCCATTTTTTAAAATTTGACCATCTCAGAGAAAAGAGGTCAGTGGCCCTGACTAAATAATCAGGTAGGGCATGTTTTAAAAATTCTTTCAACACACTGGTTAGAAATCGATACAATAGACCGTCATATGGTGATGCTTTCCATTTCTTGCTGTGGTTGTTAAAACTCCAGAGGTAAGGGCCCTGGCTAGGTACTCAGTTGGTTAGAACGTCATCCCAGTGTACCAAGGTTGCAACTTCCATGTCAGGTCAGGGAACATATAAGAAACAACCAATGAATGCATAGATAGGAGAAGCAACAAATCGAAGTTTCTCTCTCTCTCCCCCCTGCTCCTCCTCTCTCTCCAAAATCAGAAATTTAAAAAACTTGTTTAAATAAGTGAAACAACAAATCGATGTTTCCCTCCCTCCCTTTCTCTCTCTCTCAAATTAATTTTTAAAAAACCAGAAAAACCCAAAACTCCAGAGGTAAGGTTGGTGCAAGATTGTTGCATATAGTCTGAAATCGTCAGCATATGACCCATTTACTTACTCCTTTCATCCTCCAGTGTGGCTGAGGCCTTGGCATTAAGAGGTTGCTGAGGCTCCCCTCCCCTCCATGCTGGGCCTCCTATCTGGAACACCTTCTCCAGGTGTCAGCTGTGCTGGAAACTGCTCATCCCAGGCCCAGACACGTTGTGTGACCTTAAACTGCCTCTGGGCCCTTATCCACATCCGGGCCCTGGGAAGCTCCTGCTGGTGGCTGGGACAGAGTTGGGTGCAGCTGTTTGCTTTACAACACAATTGCGCCCACCCTCTAGGTGCCTCAGGGCACAGCTCCACACCTGTTTTCCACCCTCGGGTCCAGGTGCAGAGAACAAAAGAACACCCACTCACCAAGGTCATTACCTTGACGGGGGTGGGGAGAAAGACTGCAGAAGGGAGGGAAAGGAAGAGAAGCTCAAGGGAATACAGGGTTTGAATCAGCATAGTCTGATACAAATTTCTTGGATAATGGGCTTTTTCTATACTTGTGCTTCTCAGTGCGACAGACAGCAGAACATAGCCAGTAGCTATTGAGCATGTAAGATGTGGTTGGTGTTTTACTGAAGAACAAAATTCTAATATAATTTATTTCATAGTTATATAGCCACATGCACCTAGTGGCTGCTTTGTTGGACAGCACATGTGGCTGCTTTGTTGGACAGTATGAGTTGCCTCTGGAGCACATTAGGAAGCTGATAATATGCTCAATAACAGTTATCATCTGTTGAGCACATATTTTGTGCCAGGTACACTGCATGAGTTTTCCTATTTATTCTCCACAACCACTCTAGAGGAAAGGTGTTATCTTCCCCATTTACAGGTGACGAAACTGAGGATCTGAGTGGCAAAGTAACTTGGCCAAACTCCCAGAATAAGGGAGTGCTGGAAGCTGAAAGGGAACATCCAAAATCACATTTCAAAACCCCAATCAAATAAAATAAACCCAAGGAACCCTGCAGGCTTTGCGGCATCTAGCTCCCTTACAAATGAATGAAGTGTTCAAATTGCTAAAGGAATGCAAATCAGCTTATGTTTGGGGGACAAAAGCTCAGACCCTCTGGTCACACCCAGAGCCTTTCTAGGTTGTGGGTGAGTGGGGGGTAGTGGCTGACTGACAAGGAGGGACCTGGGAGGAAAGGGCTTTGGGTGGGGGTAGGGCCGGCCAGCTGGTGTCGGCAACCCAGGATATCAGCTGGCTAGCGGGCTGGCGGGCTTAAACAATGAGCAGGAGGCCTGGTCAGAATCCTCTTCCCTCCACACCCGGTCCTCTCTGTGCACCCTGGCCAGCTGCCGTGGTTATCTTCTGTGGTCTCGGCTGAGGCCTGTGGGGAGCATAATAGCCTGGGGGGCTGGTGGAAGATGCTGGGGAGGTCTGTTTGGAGTGACCTAGGTTAGGAGACAGGGGAAGTTATGAGATTTCTGGAAGTCTCCTAGGTGCAGACTTTGAGCTGGGGGATTTGCATATGTCCTTCAGTTTCCTCTTCCCCAAATCCCCCCGGTGATAATAATAATGATCATTGTTAACAATAGTAACCAAGTGGTTCCTGCTGAGCTGGCCTGGCTGGAGCTGAAGGCTTTATCTTCGTTAATCCTCTACACTGTTTTAAGAACCAAGGACTTTTCTTATTTCCTTTTTCCTCTGGTGGAGCCAAAGGCTCAGAGTGGTCAAGTGACTTGACGGACATTACAGACTAGAGAGCAAATGTCCCTTCCTCACCTGAGTTTCTCAGTCTTTCTACTTAAAACCTTATTTCAGGATTTTTCTAATTTAGAGGTGTTTACACTTTTTAACTGTTGAAAAGATTAACGTAAAAGATGTTGTTTGTGACATGAGAAACATTAAACTCGAGTTTTACCATTTGAGACACAGCCATGCTTATTTACACATTGTCTATGGCTGATCACTCCGACAGCGGGCACCCTCAGCTTTAGTATCTGTCCATTTGTAGGAAAAATTTCCTCACCCCTACCCTCTCTCTTAACCCTGGAGATGGCTTCCTGGGGGAGGCTGGGGATCCAAACTCACAGTCCCCTGAGAGTCCGCCTCCCTCTGGCATCCTCTGACCCTTGGCAGCTCTTTTCCCTAGCAGGTTCTTACCCGTCCTGCCAGCAGGAATATAGTATGGCGTTCACACATTCATTCCACGAATTGGTCTGGAGCATCTAGGGTGTACCAGACACTGTTCTAGGCATGAGGTATGAAGCAGATGTGGTCCTTATCTGCAGATATCAATCAAATCCCTAAACACAAGAGGTACAGAGATCTGTGAATAGAATTCTTCGAAGTTATAGAGCATTTGACAGGGGAGCCAAGTTAATCTGACTATCAAAGAGCGTTTCCTGCAGGAGTTGGTGGTAATATTTGAGGTGTGAAAGATTAGTAGGTTCCAGGTCCTAGGATGCCATCTTTAGACTCAACCCCGCCACCCCTCTCCATTTTCATTCCTTTCCCTCTTCTAGGAGCCTAGGACTTGACTCAGAGGAGGCCTCCGTCTTTGGGGGGAGGCACTCACTCCCCTCTCCATCACTGAGTTGGAGCATTGAGACAGCATGCCAGAGAAGGTCGGTGAATACGTTTGCAGTCACTATTTTAAAAGTGATTTAAAAAAAAAGATAAAAAGGATTATATGGTGCCTTTATGTAATAATTGCAACACTTTATTCATTCAGCAGTTCATTCATTTATAAATATTCAACAAATATTTCTTATCTGCTGTATGACAAGCACTGTTCCAGCCCTGGGGGTACAGCAGTGAGCAAGGTTGATAAAAATCCCTGCCCTGATGGAGCTCCTTACATTTCTAGTGCAGGAGATGGTAAGTAATGTATTTGATATGATGTGGTGATCTCCATGGAGAAAAATAAAGCAGGGGAGGGTGGCAGACAGACAATGTGAAATAGGGAGGTGAGGATGAGGAGGCGACAGTTTGAGCAGAGAGCTAAGGGGCCCATGCAGCCATCTGGGGGAGGCATTCATTGCTGGAACACCAAGATGCCATGAAATTCAAATCAATAGCATTCTCAAGTTATAAAATTCTAAGTAATAGAATTCTGGGGCCATGTAATGCTAATCAATACTTCTCTGGTGCCATAAAATTCCAATCAATAGGATTCTCTGGTTGTGAATTCTAACTAACAGAAGTCTGAAGCTATGACAGTCTAATTCATCAGGAAGGGTCCCTGTGAAAGCAGCTGGGGAGAAAAATTCTCAGTGTTCAGTGGGAGGTACCCAGGTAAGGAAGGAAGAATGGCCAGGAGAAGGAACAAGTAGAATGTACAAGATCCCGTGGAAGGAGGGTGGAGAGGTTGGGAGCAGAAGCCTGACCTTCACCCAGCCATTCAGTTGGTAAGACACCCTATTTCAAAAGGATCCACTTCTCTACCTCTGAGTGATAACACCACGGTTTCAACAGCAGAGAGGATGGTGAAAATACGGTGCTCAGAGGCACATCTGGGCTGAGCCGGGCCCGGTTTCCAGGTCTCCCTCCAATGAGACCTGTGGCCTCTGTAGTCCCCCGCCTGCGGCATGGAATCAGAGGGCTCTGGAGTGACTGTGTCTGGGCCTCAGCTCTCCCTCTTCCCCTTCCGAGTTTTAGTCATAATATGATATTGTCCTTCTCCCTACCCCCACTTTTATTATTCATTGCTCCTCTCAATATTATTATTAATAATAGCAATGGCTGAAAGAGAGGTACTTGCCAAGGTGAGCAAAGTGTTTGCCTAAACAAATTGGTTTGCAAGAATTCACCAATTCACCCTTCAGGGCCCTGGCTGGGTAGCTCAGATGGTCAGAGTGTTGTCCCGATACACCAAGGTTGTGGGTTTGATCCCCAGTTAAGGCACAAACAAGAAGCAACCAATGAATGTATAAGTGGAACAACAAACTGATGATGTTTTCCTCCCTCTAAACAAACACACAAACAAAAATTTCCCAAGGCAAATAGTGAAGTTATTTATTGGTTTACAGGTTTATCTTCCCTCTTCCCGAGCAAGAATTTCCTGGAACAAAAAATCAAGTCGTGTTGACATAGTGGGGGGGACTCAATTCTGAGACCCAATCGTTGAGTATCATTCAGGAAGATGGTCTAGGTTCTTATGTTTACTCAGTCCCCTGCTAAACACCCTGCTCGTGGGCACTTAGGTTATTGCCAGTGTTTCCCTATCACACAGTATTGCAATGACACCTCAAGCATGTGCCTGAGCATTTCTCTGGAGTCCCCGCCTAGAAGTAGAATTGCTAGGTAGCAAGATGTGAGCATCTGTAATTTCCTAGAGTCCTGTATTCTTTCTAGCCCACCTCCCAGACTCCCAGAAGAGGAAAATTTCCCTCCAGGTCCACCAGAGCAGACAGCAGGAACTGCCAGGGCTTTGCCCACAACGGCTGCCTGCCCACCCGCCTGCCCTCCCTTGTTCTGGTAGATTAACAGTGACCTGTGACCCTGACAGGCTGGCCACACTCCTGGCCAATTTCAGCCTGTCAAAAGGCGTCCCCAGGGGTGGTCAGGGCTCAGGGATGTGCTGGCCAGATGGGCCTGGGAGGTCTTGGGTTAGCTTATCCCAGGAGGCAGAGCAGGTGGGCAGCCTCCAGCAGCCCCACCCCATTTGCCCATCATGCATCACTGGGCTGTAGCTGGAGCCAGATGGTGGGGATGGGGCAGCCTTGCAGCTTCTGGCCTGACAAAGGATCCTCTATGCTGCCTCCCCACCCTGACCAGCTTGGCTAGTCTAGTCTCTGACTGCCCAGTCACTCAGCCCTGGCCTGCCTTGCCCTGGGTAGCCTGTCTGCCAAGGCTGTCCCTCCCACCATCCAAGGCAATGTTCCTAGACAGCCTTGGACTTGGAAACCCACTTATCCACTTGAAAGTGGGCAGGGATGACTAAGGCAGTATCACTCCATGGTTGTAATGGATCAGAGATTCAAATACATTGATGAGATCAAGTGCAACAGGCCAGGAAGGACTGTGGCAAACCGGTGTCTGGCAAACAGTGAGCACTCATCAATGAACAGTCCCTGTGATTACTACAGGTGGGGAAACTGAGGCCTAGAGAGGAGAATGCTTGCAGAAGAGTGTCATGGTTTAGAAGAGTACATTTGAGAGTCAGGTCCACAAGAATTAACTGCAGATCTGCTACAGAGAGTAAATCCTTGGGCAGATCACCTAAGCTCTCATTCCTCATCTGAAACAGGGCTAATTAAATCTTTATCACAGAAAATAGTTCCAAGAGAGAGGTAAGATAATGCTGGATAAGGAGTTAGCCCTTAGGACAGGAGCTAACCTCATTATTATTCTGGAATCCCCAAAGAGGTTGGAGGAACTGCTGGAGATAAGAAAGCCTCCAGACTGGGAGGGTAGAATCCCTGGGCATTAGTGGACTGGTTCAGGCCTGGCGTCCTCCCCAAGGACTCTACCAGATACAATTGTGTAACCATCTTCGAGGTACTGTGATTCAGTTTCCTTATCTGTAAAATGGGTTCAATAATAGTAGTTACCTCATAGGATGCTATAAGGATTAAGTAAGTTTTCCCCTGGAAAGTTTATGGACCATACTCAATAAGTATTAGTCATTATGGGAAGGTGAAGGGTGGAGCTTGGAGAAGGTTCCTGTTACGGAGTTCTTGGGAGTGGGCCCCGGACGCCCCTAATTGCTACCTAGACTCTCCTATCTAGACTGGGCTTTGGAATGTCTCCAAGTCAGATCTGTCTTCAGGTGTAGCTTTAGGGAAGGGCTGCCCTGGATGGCTAGGAGTCCTGGGTTCCCTTCTAGGTGCTGCCTCTATTTTGCTCTGTGACTCCAGGTCTCTGGGAAATGGACCATTTGGTCTCCATCATTTCTCAGGAGTCAGGCTTCTCTGACATGGACAAGAGCATGAGAGAGGGAAGGCTGGGGGGAGGGAAGTGAGCTGGGGTGAACCAGAGCTACAGCTAGGCCAGCTCCTGCGGGAGTGACTCCAGCAGTACCACCCCACACACAGGGCCTGGGAACTTTTCAATTGACTCCTTGATGCCAAGTGAAGTCTATTAATATCAAAGTAATGAGGTAATTACTGTGATTAGGAAAAATTACTAGTGAATGCTTTTGAGGGAATTTCAGAGCAGAGAGGAGGGTGAGTGAAACATCTGTGAGGAAAGGAATAAAGGGTCGTTTTAGATGCAATGTGAGGGTGGGTGAGCTCTGAGCCCAGGGGTGTCCCCTCCACAGCTTGGGACTCCTGCAGTGAGTGATCGGTGGTGTGTGTGTGTGTTGGGTGGGGATTGAGAGAGGAACCAGAGTGTGGGGTTTTCAGGCCCTAGGATTAGCCTAGCAGACACCAGGGTGAAGGACAAACACTGGAACCAGAGCTCGATCCGTCCCCTTTTCATACTCCAGCCTGCAACCTCTCCACTCCCAGAGCCACACCAGTCTTGAGGAAATTGGGATTAAAGGCCCCTGAACCAGAGATGCTGGAAGAGCTGAGAAGCAGAGGTTGTCAAAATGTATTCTTGGAGCACAACATCATCGTCATCTGGGAACCTGCTAAAAAATGCAAATTCTGGGTCAGGAACTCTGGGATGGGACTCAGCAGACCTTTTTTTTTTTTTTTTTTTTTTTAAAGATTTTATTTATTTATCTTTAGAGGGGAAGGGAAGGAGAGAGGGAGAGAAACATCAATGTATGGTTGCCTTTCGTGCGTCCCCTGCTGGGAACTGGCCTGCAGGGAACCTGCCTGCAACCCTGGCATGTGCCCTGACTGGGAATCGAACCTCAGCAGACTTTTTTAACAAGCCCCTAAAAGAGGTGTGAAATGGTAGGCAGGGATGGCCTGGGAAGTGGAGATGGAGATTGCTTTTAGGAGGTTGAATCCATGGAAGTACACCAGGGTGTGTGTGGAAGATCACGTGGGAGGAGTAGTTGCAGTAATAATAATAACAGTAATAATAACTGAACATGTATTATGCCCACTCGCTCTTTAGTAATGGTGCTGAGCGCTTTCTAGGTCTTATCTCATTTCCTCCTCATGCCAGCCTTAACAGGTATGTACCATCATGATCCTGATTTTTCAGATAGGAAACTGAAAAACAGAGAGGCCGAACGGCCAAGGCCACATAGCTGGTAGGTTGTGAAGCATCTTCAGCTGCTGGGTTTTTGCTTCTGATCTGATACCAGGTTGCTTTGGTAAATCCAAGAAGGATGACTGGTGTGACCTGAGTGAGCAGTAAGGACTGTTCAGGGGAGAAGTGACTTAAGGGAAGCTAACACTGTTTTGATTTTTAAAAATATTTTATTTATTTAATTTTAGAGAGAGAGGGGAAGGAAGGGAGAGAAATATTAATTCATTGCCTCTCATATATGCCCCAACCCTAACACCTGGCCTGCAGCCCAGGCACGTGCCCTGTCCAGGGATTGTACCTGTGACCTTTGGTTCACAGGCCAGTGCTCAACCCACTGAGCCACGTCAGCCAGGGTAAAGTTTTTTTTTTAGATAATAGTTGTGGATATCGGAGAGAAGAATTGGTCAACCACTGTGTAATAGTCTATTTTTTTCAAAAACTCATTTACAGAAAA